TTTTGGAACTTGAGAATTTGGAACTAGGGAGTTTTGGAACTTGAGAATTTGGAACTAGGGAATTTCGGAAGTTGAGAATTCGGGACACGGGAAGTTTGCAACTCGAAAATTTGGAACTAAGGAATTTTGGAATTTGAGAATTTGGAACTAGGGAACTTTGGAACTTGAAAATTTGGAAGTAGGGAATTTTGGAACTTGAGAATTTGGAACTAGGGAATTGTAGAAGTAGAAAATTTGAAAACTAGGGAATTTGTACTACCCACTAACAGTCTCTATAACAGAAACCTTTAATGACTCTTTAAAAGCACCAAATGATAATTAAAATATTGATAAATTGTTTCTTACTTTTTAGATACAGAAACGAGAAGAGAAAATTGAGTGAGCAATAAAGATGGAGAACGCGAAGGAGGAGACGATAAACATGCAGCTGATCGGTTCCGAGAGCCCGTACAAGTACGTCTTATTCTACTTAATATATACTCCGTGCGTGGAAAATGCAACCGATTCGATTCGATTCGTTCAAAGTTCAATGAAGCTGAAATTGATACGTTCCGTACAAGTATCATATACGACTGACCTGTGGTTTGTTCGCGATTGTTTGTTTGGGTAATTGACGCTAATTCCCGTCGGAACATGTAACAAAGAACGGGACGTTCCGAATATTCGACAAACAACAAGAACTTGTCGGACGACGATTACATTTGCAAATTGATGCGGTTACAGGGTTAATAATGAAATCGCCGGAAGTGGTCTAAATGCATCGGAAGTACCAATATCACCGACTGCAAACGTAGAAGACTACGACCCCCATAAACATCGAAATAGGCCAAATCCAACTTCGTAAGTATTCCATCAATGTTTCTCGCATTTCTATTAATCGAACTAGATGGGAACTAGCGAATTTTAGAACTAGGGAATTTGGAACTAGAGAAATTTAAAACTAGTAAATTTGGAATTAGGAAATTTTTGAACTAGGAAATTTTGGAACCAGAGAATTAGTAACTAGGGAAGTTTGGAACTGGGGAGTTTTGGAACTAGGGAATTCGGTAACTAGGGAGATTGGGATCTAGGGAGATTGGGGTCTAAGGAGATTGGGAACTAGGGAGTTTGGAAACTAGAGAGATTGGGAACTAGGGAGTTTGGAAACTAGAGAGATTTGGAACTAAGGAGATTGGGAACTAGAGAGATAGAGAACTAGGGAGTTTGGAAACTAGAGAGATTGGGAACTAGGGAGATTGGTACCTAGAGAGATTGGAAATTAGGGAGATTGGGAATTAGGGAGATTGGGAATTAGGGAGATTGGGAACTAGGGAGATTGGGAACTAGAGAGATTGGGAACTAGGGAGATTGGGAATTATGGAGATTAGGAACTAGGAAGATTGGGAACTAGGGAGCTTGGAAACTAGAGAGATTGGGAACTAGAGAGATTGGGAACTAGGGAG